TTCGGGGACGTCCACAGCAGCTAGCAGTTAACCTCCCCTGTGTGACACCTCTGGACACACAGCAGTAAGCAACTATACAGGAGTAACAACTTTCTCAGGAGCTCTCCAACCAAACCCAATACTGCTGCTGCTGCTCACCAAGGCCAGAACCAAGGCAATAACCAGGATTAATGACACAAAGCAGTAGCTGCTCACCCAAAAAGCTAGAACAGAACAGAATAAGAATCAGACCATCCCAATAGATTTATGTACTAGACCACTGAAGCTGCTGCTGCAAGCCTACTAATCCAGACATTTTCTAACCTGATGCAGGTTATGTAACCAAATCATTGACAGAAACTTGATTGATTTTAGTCTGGAAATATCTAACTAATATCTAACTCTAACAAATATCTAATATCTCTAATAGACAGATATAGGAACAGAAGCTGAGCTAGATCTGAAGCTGCAGCTGTGAGATGGGCGTGAGTGCTGCTGATATAGTGGTGGCACTAATGTCTTAGACTGTAGCAACATAAGCTGTGACTTCAACTGCTGCTGTATTCAGATTCTTCTTTGTCCTGCTCTTCATCACAATGAAAAAAAGATGAACTCCTCAATTCTTTATTCAATACTTGTATTGTAGCTACATTATTGTTTATATAGACATTTGTATAACGACTGTCTAACTATCTAACAACTTGTCTAACAAACTTCTACCCAATCTTCTAACTAATATCTAACTCTAACAAATATCTAATATCTCTAACAGACATATATAGGAACAGAAGCTGACACAACTGATTAACAGCAGAAAAATGACCCAAGTTGGGGGCATGCATATGTTGACACAACTGATTAACAGTAAAGGAGATGTTAGGTCTGGTGATAGTTAAGTACTGTAAAGCCCCAACTATACTGCGATAAAGAGAAGGATTGTCAAACAATTCAGTGAAAGAACTAGTAAGACTAGGCTTGACAGACATAGGTGAAGAACAGGGCTTGCATTCAGCTATTCCAGCTCGCACAAGTATGTCATGAGCATACTTTTGTTAACAAAGTGTATAACCAGTAGCAATAGCTTGAACTGAAATGCCCAAGAAATAGGACACATGACCCAATTCTTTCATAGAAAAAACCTCATGCATATGAGCAATAAGAGAGGTAATATGAGCATCATTATTTCCTGTGAGTAATATGTCATCAACATAGATTAAAAGCACAGTAATAGTGCTATCAGACTTCTGAATGAATACCGATGAATCACATTTACTATTCTAAAACCCCTGAGATAGCAGAAATGCAGAGAAGGTGGAGTACCAGGCTCTAGGTGCTTGTTTGAGCCCATATAAGGCCTTGTGAAGTTTGCAGACATGAGTGGATTGAGAAGGATGAACAAAGCCAAGAGGCTGCAACATATGCACCTCTTCTTCAAGAACTCCATGAAGGAAAGCATTAGATATGTCAAACTACTTGATCGACCAATTGTGATAAAGAGCAAGACATAGAAGAATCCGATCCGTGTTCCTATTATTCCTACTGTTCGGTTCCTTATCAGTTTGCAGTATATATATATATACTAGTTCCTACTATTCAGTTCCTAATCTACTCTATAAGGCCTTGTGAAGTTTGCAGACATGAGTGGATTGAGTAGGATGAAAAAGCCAAGAGGCTGCAACATATGCACCTCTTCTTCAAGAACTCCATGAAGGAAAGCATTAGATATGTCAAACTACTTGATCGACCAATTGTGATGAAGAGCAAGACATAGAAGAATCCGATCCGTGTTCCTATTATTCCTACTGTTCGGTTCCTTATCAGTTTGTAGTATATATATATACTAGTTCCTACTGTTCGGTTCCTAATCTACTCTAAAACTTGATTAATCCGATCCGTGTACAATCCTAATTTTTACATATTTTTGTAATATATGTTATGTATTTTTATAATAAATATTAAGTAGTTGTGTATCATATATAACTTTTTTTACTTATTTTTTGAGGCAATTATTGCATTTTTTTTCTTGCATCATTTGTGACGAATATTACGGATTGTTTTTTGATACATAATTTGTACTTCATAAATAAAATTACATATTTTCTAATAATGTTAAAAATTTTAAAAATGTGTAACTAACAGTGTATATGATACATATCTTCCATAGCATTAAAACACTAATACAATATTAATAAATTTTACCTCCATCTCAATTTCAATCTCTCCTCTATCTCTCAAAACAAATGGTAATAATAATTAACATCTTGTTGTAGGACTTATAAAAGATAGTAGGTGGCTCACGTGATGCGTGTGCAAGTTCAATAAATAAAATATTTAACATATATTGGCTGTAATCTCAAGTGTTAAGATTATTCCTTATCAAATTTGTGCTCTTAACTTCAAGTCTTGGCCTATTCTTTTCTCTAGCATTTTTTTTTTTTTTTGGTTTTTGATAGATCACTAGACACTTGGTATGAAGAGAGACAAAGCTTAAAAGACACCAATTTAGGTGCTCACATATATAATAATATAGATAAAAACAAATAAAATATTTAAAATATATTAGTTGTAATCTCAAGTGATAAGATTCTTCCTTATTAAATTTGTGGTCTTCAGTTCTAAGTGTTGGCCCATTCTCTTCTCTAGTATTATTTTTTTTTTTTTTGGTTTTTGATATATCACTGGACACCTGGCATGAAGAGAGACAAAGCTTTAAGACACCAATTTAGGTTCTCACATATATAATAGTATAGATGGTATAGAATTTTCGTATATGTGTATATTTGTTTTGGTGTGGGGTAATGAGTTTCTTCGACTAGTAGGGTGTAGTGGCATAATAAGTGGTATTGTAAACTTTTTGGCTCAAGTGTTCAACGATAGTCATGGTGGGAAGCTAACGGTTATATGGTTGGAGTACTTGATCACTATACAGTTTAAAAAGAAAAAATCGTACCAAGAAAAATTCAGAACATTCTACTTGGTTTAAGTGCACGTTTTTGAACCCTGGTTCTTTCAACTTTTGGACCCAAAAAAAAAAGAAGGGTATTTACACAGTGATCCCTTAAACTATTGTCAAGTATCCTTTTGACCTTCTATATTAAGAAACCATACAAACTGACTTTCTAAATTATGGATATTGTAAGAGGGAGAGGTCAGTTTGCAGTTCTATTTTCTCATTTCTTGGTTGAGCTTGTATATAAGAGTTGGCTGCTAGTTCTCAGTTCTACAGTTTATGGCAGTTTGCAGCAGCAGATTGGGTGTAGATGTGTCCATCCGAGTGCTTGTTGCTACTGTTAACTAATATCTAATAAAAGGTCCATAATTGCTCAGGTATAATCAGTTTAACCCTTACAAAGAGAGTTTTGAATATTAATTAAGTTCCCATAACTTGAGATCAATTTAAATCTATAAATTTTAATTTCATTTACAAATCCAAATTTACATATCCAAATAGAGTTTAATTGGAGTTAAATCACATACCTTCTTTTTTTTTTTTGGGTTCAATCGGTCATAGATTAATTTCAAATAATGATTCAAAATCCAACAATACCTTTAAAGTCAACAATTTCCAAACTCAATAACAATCACATGAAGAACTACATATAACCCGATCGAACTATACTCCATAAAAGTTAAATAACAACCTCAAACTACATAGTATTGCTATATCAATAGGCCAAAAACCCTTACTCACCTACCCATTTTCTTTTACCCATCGTGTTTTTAATGACGGCATGGATAGAAGAAAAACTCACACATAACTTTCACAAATGGTTGGAAAGTTGACATAAAATATAATGCACTGATATAATATCTAACTTTTAGCCAATGTTATTGCCATTTTACCATAAACCAAAATTTTTTTTCTTTGAAAACAGAAGAAAAATAAAATTCAGAATCCTTTTTTTTTTTTTTTTTTTTTTTTTTGTGATGGCTTCTATATATAACATTTTTGTTTCACCAAACTTTTCATCTCCTTGGTGAGTTCTCATATATAATAACATGATAAATTTCAAATATAGTGCTTATCTTTATGTGTACATATATATAAATATAGATATAGATATAGATACTAATACAGATATTAAAAAAACTCATAAGAAAACAGTATACAAGTTCAGCCACTCTTAGTGGCATTTTATCAAGCACCTAAGAGGCATAATAATATATACTAGTGCAATATATCAGAGAAACTATGACCCTATATAACTTTACCTCCTATGTAGACAATTTCAACAACCCAAACAATACACTACTATTCAAAAACATTGTACAATACAAAACCAGAATGAAAATTGAAGAAAATCCTTCAAGAAGATGAAAAACTCATTTCAACTTCATACTAAAATCACAGAAATGGTTAATGTACTTCTTACTAAATTAAAACCAAATCATCCAAAATAACAGAGCATTGAGTGTTTCTTCTTATTCTTCTTCTTTTTTTTTTTGGTTCAATTTTTCGGAAAAAAAGAAAAAAAAAATGACCCAAAGAGAAAGAAGTACATAAAACATCAAATTACCTATGAAACTTCAACGATGAATAACAGAGCTTCAACTCCTTACAACTCTGATCCAGTAAATCAACCAACTCGTCCAATCGGAGACACAAACTTGCCAAATCAAACGCAAAAACTTGAAACAAATTCCAAGTGTTTTCTAGGGTTTTTTTGTATGCTCGATTTGCGATTATATGTGGAAGAAATACAACGCAAGAGAGGGGTCGTGCAAGAGATGGAAACTGAATGGAAAAATCACGGCAAATTCAGAGCGCCTTTTTTCTTTCAGGTTTCAATAGCATTCTTTCTTTGCTATATCCTGTAGAATGAAGTTCCGTACTAAGGAAAGCTTTAATATTGGTTTTCAATTGCTATTAAAATATAAAAAATTGCTATAAAAAATTAAATGTTATTATTCAAAAATCTTTTACAGCATTTTATTAAAAAATGTTATGTATACCTTTTATTTTATAACATTCATAAAAAAATGCTATAAACAAATGTTATTAATTATACTTTTTGTTGTAGTGAGAGTTATGAATCAGACATTTTTGAAGCCAATGGCTACAAATGGTAAGTGATTTTACTTTCTTTCTGTTGCTGAAATTTCCTTCTACATTTTTGTTGAAGTTATGCATAAGTTGATTCTTAGTGTTGTATATTGTGTTGAATTGAATTTGAAGGAGATTATATCTCTACCCAAATGGTGATGAAAAAAGAAATGGAAAAGGTTACTGTGGGTGTTGATTTCCGACCACACAACCAAAAGGGAAAACTTAGCTGGAGAGCACCAGCAGAATAGATTAAGCCCGAACAACCTGTCACAGAAAGATAAGAATCCCGCGGTGGTTCGTCCACCGGGGGGCACTCCGACGATCAAGTCAGTAAAATATCTCTCAAAGATAACCAATAGCACTTAACTCACTAGACAAAGCATAAAAGACATACCTTAGACCCATGAGGGTGCCTTACTTTTATAATGATCAGTGTCCAACTTCCCCTAGAAGTCTTACTTCATGGGACTCTATCCTTTACAATGATAACATCTATCACAACTCACACTATTCAGATTAAGATGAACTTTCTCAAGAGTCTCATCTCTATCCAAATAGGTAGTTTGACGTCATCTAGGACTCTAGTCCTTTATCCAAAATATCTCAAATTCCGGTATTATTACACCATATCTTGGCATCATGGTCCGCCCACATGGTACCTCGGCTAACAACCTCGGCCACGTGGACTATCAAAAAATATGTCCCCACAACTGCCCCCTAGGTTCTATTACCTCGGCAAACTGAGGTGATGAAACCTATACATGTACTTCTTCGACCGAGATCGTGACTTGTCGGCGCCAAGAAATAAGCACTCATATGTCCACTCGTCAAGAATCAAGAACCACCATGTTCTATCTCATCCAAGTCCATCATCTCAATAGAGATCACATTACCAGTAGTGATCATGACTTGCTAGTTCAAGAACATCAAGATCCTAGTATCAACTCATCAAGAACTAAGAACAAACAAGTTCAGCCCCCATCCAATTTCAATATCTCAACCGAGATCAACATTTCAACCGAGATCAATATCTCAACTAAGATCGCACTTCTCAATCAAGATCATCATCAGATTGGAGCATACCAATCACGTCTTCATTGTGTCGCATTAGTTCTGCCCCCCGCCGCTTGATGTCAGTGCGGGCACGTCAGGACTCGAAATGATAACTTTTTTCCATCTTTTTTCAATTCTAGCAAAAACCTTTTCATTTTCTCATTTCGTCTCTATCTGTGTCCCTAGACTCTCTTTCTCTTGGCCTCTACAAACCATCATCACTGTTCTTGAAGAATTCATTCTTATTACAACTCTGGTCACCACTTCTGGCGTGCACTCAGCAGTTCTGTTTCAATCATAACGTTGTTTGACTCCGGCGAATCCTTTTCCGGCATTTGCTTCCTCGGCTTCACTTTGTAAGTCCTTAATTTCTTTTACTTTAACTTCAGTTCTCCACTGTTTTCAAATATATTCCTTCTGTGAATTGTTACACATCACACACGGTATCTATATCTGCATCTACATTGCTATCTGGTATTCATACTCGAGTCTCATTGTTCTCAATGCCTTCATTTGCTTTGACTCATATTTTGTCCTTCATTTTCTTGAGCCCATCTTCACATTTTTTCTATTTTCTTGTTGCATTTTGCCAGATTCTTACCTCCAATTTTCTATTTCCACATAGATTTTAGGCTTGTCTCAGGATGAGGAGGGCGAGGTCCAAAAGACCACTTCGGAGGCCGAGGTCGATACTGCCAACAAGTGCCTGGATGCTACACTTCGTGAAATCGATGCTGAGGTCCAGGCTGAAAATATCTGCTCAGCTGTCTGCCGAGGCTGACACAACGCCAATTGCTGAGGCAGGGCACACTGTGGAAAATGTATAGGCTTTAGTTTTTCCTCTTTTGAGTCTTTGCTCTCTTTTTACTTTCGAATAGTTGTAAATCTCTTTGTTTGTGAACAATGTTAACTCTGTATTTAGCCGATGTGCCTTCTTGTAATCAAAACAAGTAGTCTTTTTGTAGGCCAAAGTGCCCTTTTTCTTCTTTCAATGCAAGTACACCTTTTTTACTAAGTGTTTCAATGCTTGTCTTTCCTTTACTGCCTTGTATGATTCCATACTTAGAATGTTTTGTATGTCTTCAAAGTACACCTTAACTGTGCAATCTCTTCGGGGTAAAATACCTCGGACATAATTTCCAACTTTGTTCATCTCGGCCTTGGCTTAACACTTGAAAACATTTGTAAATATTTTCACAAGTGTCGCTTAAAACTTGCCACTTTCTCATTGTCTTCTGTCAAGACTTCCGTCTTCCATACTTGAAGTTTTGGCAACCTGGTAATACCTCGGACATATCTTCCAACTTGTAATTTTTCTCAAAATTTCAACAAATGTTAGACCATCCTTCTTTCGATAGAATCTCGGCTTAACTTCAACTTGTAAATTTTCTCAAAATTTCAACAAATGTTAAGCCAACCTTCTTTCGATATAACCTCGGTTTAACTTCAACTTGTAAATTTTCTCAAAATTTCAACAAGTGTTAAACTAACATTCTTTTGATATAACCTCGGTTTAACTTCAACTTGTAAATTTTCTCAAAATTTCAACAACTGTTAAGCCAACTTAGTTCAACTCTATTATATGCAAGTATGGTTCTACTTTTCCATATAATAAGTCTAAGTTATTCGTCATGTTTCAATCAGAAATATCGTCAACTTAGTTCAACTCTATTATATGCAAGTATGGTTCTACTCTACCATATAATAAGTCTAAGTTATTTGTCATGTTTCAATCAGAAACATGACCAACTTAGTTGAATTCTATTATATGCAAGTATGGTTCTACTCTGCCATATAATAAGTCTAAGTTATTCATCATGTTTCAATCAGAAACATCGCCAACTTAGTTCAACTCTATTATATGCAAGTATGGTTCTATTCTGCCATATAATAAGTCTAAGTTATTCGTTATGTTCACCATAGGAACATCGTCATAAGACTATTCAGTCTTATCGCACAATCATGGATTCCAACAACATTTTCACACTTCTTTACATATGTAACGCCCTCAAAATAAAACCCATAATCCAACATTCAAAACATGCTTAGACATAAAAGAAATAAGCATAATTACATTTCATCAGAGTATTCATTACAAAATGTACTACATGTTGACAACAAAAGTAAATGCCCTATAGGCTTACAACTTTTCAAGTCAACACTTGGTTACAAAGGAGAGTACTAACTCTACAAAAATAAGCCCTTGGCATGATATACATGTAATAGAACTATAAAAAAAAAACAACAAAGGTGTCCCCACCACTAAGCCTCCCAAGCTACATCCTTGGAGGTGGCATGCTACCTGTACCTGAAAATGATGTCCCATATAGGGTGAGCCAATGCCCAGTAGAGATATGCTAAACATAATATGAGCAATAACTAAAACATTAGCATTTGATAAATGTTTAACTCACATAAATCAATTCATAGTCCATTTCAATTACATGACAAATGTGTCCATGTTCCATTCCATTTTCCATTTCTTATCCAATTTCTCAATTCACAACCCTGGCTCAGAACCTGGCCATACTTTAAATGAGATTACTTCTCATATCAATAATTCTTCCATTTCAACAATTCAAATGAGATACCGACTCATATCAAAACACTTCCATAAGCCATAATAGATACACAGATTCGCTGTATCAATAACACATGAAACACTTCCATACTTCACAAATGATACACGGATTTGCTGTATCAATAATTCAATAGATACACGGATTTACTATATCAATGAAGTTCATCCCCTATCTCCTCCCAAACAATATCCGGTTTAGGAGTCCGTCCCCTATCTCCCCGTAAACCGTGGAGTACATCCCCTATCTACTCCCACACAACACAATGTATATAAACACATATCATATACATAATCAATCAATACATAAGTTTGATGTATTATTCCAACCGTCATATTCGATGACATATGCAATTGATTAGTTTTAGTTTGCCTAATCATCATGCATTGTCTACAACAATCAAGACTATCCTCCACCGATAGCCCAAAGCAGTTATTTCTAAACAGATAATAAATGCATCAACAGGTAAATTTATCAATGTTTTCAAGGGTGAGTGATTAATAAATCTAACTCCACCATTCCATCTCATATTATGCCAATTCCACTAATTTCAACTCAATTTCAAGTTTCCAAAATTTCCAAATTAATTACATGAATTAATTTGCCATAGCAATTTCGGGGTTTTTCCCCCATTTCTCAATATTGACCCAAAGGCCCAAAATAACTTCAACACTACCATTTTAGGACCCAAATTACACATTTATGAGTCAAAACCACAAACTCTTTTGAAAATAACACATCTCAAACCCTAATTTGTTCCAAATCAACCCATCTATACAAATAACTCAATATCTATGTTAAAGCACATAAGAATGAGTAGGAATTCCTACCTCAAATTCGGAGCTCAAAGGAGGAAGATCAAGAAATTCGAAATGCTCCAAACCCCAATATTTTCAGATCAAAATGTAGCCCTCAACGATCCCCACACTTTTTACAAAGGCCCAAAGATAGAAGATCACTCCTACTAGATCAAACCCTAGAGAGAAGTTGTGTTTTTAGAGTGAGGTGCTCTCAAATGGAGGTTTAGAAAAGTAAGAGAGAGAGAAAGTGTGAAAAGTGATTTAAAATCACCCAGCTGCCAACTGATATACGTATGACCCGCTCGAGCGGAGAATAGGACACTCGAGCGTCAAGCACAAAACTGGACCTGTTCGAGCGTGAAGGGTGCCCGCTCGAGCGCCAAGACACAACTGCAAAACACACCCGCTCGAGCGCAAAGGGAAAGCCGCTCGAGCGTAGAATTCCCCCTTCCAGGACTTTTACAGACAATGAACTACCCGCTCGAGCGCCAAGATACCCGCTCGAGCGTAAGAAAATTCGCTTGAGTGTGAAAAACACATCTGCAGAAGTTTTGCAGAGGCACGAAATGCTGAAAGTGTGTAAACACCGCTCGAGCGCAAGAAGACCCGCTCGAGCGGATAACCAAAAATCAAACTCCGCTCGAGCGCAGAGAAACCCGCTCGAGCGTACCACCAAAATTTTGGGCAACAAGGAATGGGACTAAAGCTCAACCAACCTGTTCGAAACACGCCCAATACATTCTAAAACTCAAACACACGGAATTAAATGATAACAAAACGATATACAACCACCAACTCCACGAAACCCAAGTCCGGAATACAACAATCAAAGGAAGAGAGACCGGGATCGCTATAACATAGACTTCGACATCCTTTTGCATGTAGGGCCACCAAAATCCCTGTGATATAGCTCTGTGGGCAAGGGATCTGCCCCCTGCATGGCTTCTATATACTCCTTCGTGGATCTCGTATAAAAAGTCTTCAACCTGGGAATGATGTACACATCGCAATACAGGCCTACTAAAAGTCCTTCTATATAGATGGCCTTCTGCCGATAGGCAGAACCTGGCCGACTTCAATCTGATCTTGTGTGCTTCCTTTTTATCTTCTGGGATCTGGGATCTGCTCACTTAGATTGAGTTCTTCTCTTCTTGGACCTATTCATCTAGGTCAAGATCTTGTCTTCTGGAATCTTGGATCTGCTCACTCAGGCTGAGCTCTTCTCTTCTCGGACCTAATCATCTAGGCCGAGATCTTGTCTTCTAGGATTTGGGGTCCAGGATCTGAAATCCTTGATCTGCTCACTTAGACTGAGCTCTTGTCTTCTCGGACCTACTCATCTAGGCCGAGATCTTGTCTTCTAGGATCTAGGATCCGGGATCTGCTCACTTAGGCTGAGCCCTTGTCTTCTCGGACCTACTCATCTAGGCCGAGATCTTGTCTCCTAAGATCTGGGATCCGGGATCTGCTCGCTTAGACTGAGCTCTTGTCTTCTCGGACCTAATCATCTAGGCCGAGATCTTGTCTTCTAGGAACTGGGATCCGGGATCTGGAATTTGGGATCTGCTCACTTAGACTAAGCTCTTCTCTTCTCGGACCTAATCATCTAGGGCGAGATTTGGTCTTCTGGGCACTAGTTTTGGTTGCTGGTGCCAGGATGTCTTGTAATAGGGATGTCAGTTGTATCACGTCGTTCTGCATCATGAGGTTGACCACTATTTATAGATTTGTCAACTTATTTGCCATGCCTTTCAGTTTTCTCCTCTTTTCTCCTGCCTCTGTCCTTCCATACCTGAAGGTTTCTTTCACAGTAGTACTCATCTCGGCTACTCTTTTTGTTCCCTTCCTGGCCTTTGGTGACATTATTTGCCTCAGGATTCACTTATTGCACTTTTTCGTTATGGTCCCTTCCTTCAGTGTTAGGATCTACATGCTCCTCCTCCTTACTGTGGATGTTGTCCCCAATCCTCACTTCCTATTCATTGTTGGCCATCTATCTTTACAAAGTTCCCACAGACGGCGCTAAATTGTGGGTGTTGATTTCCAACCACACAACCAAAAGGGGGAACTCAGCTGGAGAGCACCGGCATAATAGATTAAGCCCGAACAACCTGTCACAAAAAGATAAGAATCCCGCGGTGGTTCGTCTACCCGGGGGCACTCCGATGATCAAGTCAATAAAATATCTCTCAAAGATAACCAATAGTGCTTAACTCACTAGACAAAGCATAAAAGACATACCTTAGACCCATGAGGGTGCCTTACTTTTATAATGATCAGTGTCCAACTTCCTTAGAAGTCTTACTTCAGAGGACACTATTCTTTACAAGGATAACATCTATCACAACTCACACTATTCAGATTAAGATAAACTTTCTCAAGAGTCCCATCTCTATCCAAATAGATAGTTTGACGTCATCTAGGACTCTAATCCTCTATCCAAAATATCTCAAATTCCGGTATTATAGCACCATAACTCGGCATCATGGTCCGCCTACGTGGTACCTCGGCTAACAACCTCAACCACATGGACTACCCAAAAATATGTCCCCACAGTTACATCTCTCTGTACTTGGTAATTGCAGAGACAATTAAATTACCTCTTGGTTGGGAAGTCAATGTGAACTTCAAATTGTTTGTCTATAATCAAATTCAAGACAAGTACTTGACCATCCAAGGTATTGCTTATTAAATTATCAATTTCTTTTCTGATACTTTTTTATCCTTCCAAATTTTCATCCTACAAACCAAATGTTTTAAATTCTTCAAAATTATCAAATACCAATGGGAAGGTAAATCACTTTCATGGGATGACAATAGAGTGGGGTTTTCCTCAGTTGCTTTCACTTAGTACCTTTAGTGATCCTTCTAATGGATACCTCGTTCTTGACAAATGCATGTTTGGAGCAAATGTTTTTGTTTTGAATTATAGTAGCAAAGCTGAGTTTCTGAGTTTTAAGGAACTTGACATTATTCACACTTGGAAGATTGAAAAATTTTCATCTCTGGATGATAAATTTATTACCTCTGATGTCTTCACCGTTGAAAGTTGCGAGTGGTATACATTTTTTGAATTTTTATCTTCTCTGTATTACTAAGTTGTTTGATTGGCAAAACAGAGCAGTTAACTGCTTTTCATGGATTCTTGTAATGACTCCAGGATATCATGTCTCTATCCCAAAGGATCTTCAGAAGAAAAGGACAAGCACCTGTCTCTTTATTTAGGGTTATATAATGGTGAAGAGTTTCCTCCAGAACGAAAATTATATGCACATTACAGCTTGTGCATAAGGAACCAACACAATGGCAAGCATAAGAAATTTACAGGTGAAATTGCACACATTTTTTCAGCAGATGTCTCTTTATCTAATTATTGACATCCATTGGATTTGTTCATTTAATTATCGACTTGGATACATGTTTTTGGCAATCATATAGTTAATAGTTGCGCAACTATTGTGATGCAAGTGGCAGCTGGTTCAGTGCTACTTCACATTTCGCTTATGGTGACAGTACATTATTGTCGCTAACTGATCTCCATGATTCCTCCAAGGGATTCCTCGTCAACGACACTTTAATTATCGAGTGCAAAGTAATTGTTGTCTCCAAAGTGAAAAACTTTGCTCAATAGTTCTTGACCCTTGATTATATATGTTTTTTAATTGTTGAACTTAGATCAGTAGTCAGTTTCAAGATGATCCAATGATATCTGTGCATTAAGTTTCAACAATTTAGTCAGCTAGCTTTTGTTATTACTTTATTCAGCTGAAGCTGTTCTGGTTGTATCCATTGTTATAGTTGAAATTCTAAGAAACTAGATGTTTGATCCTAGAATTTACACTGAATTTTGATTATCAGTCCGAATTCAATTCTTGAATGGGGCATCCTATTTGTAAAATAAATCTCCCCCACACTTTTATTTGTTCTCAAGTTACTGGTAAAACGTTATGTGTTTGTATTGTCTTCTCAAGTTATTGGTAAATTTCTAGATTAATATTTTGATTTGTAGTGTTACTGTAAAATAAATTATAGAGAAAATTAGTGAAACATTCATCTCCAACTTTAGGTAGTAGGAGAGGTCCAATATGTTTTTTTTTTTATTAGCTAAGGTCCCTTGATGAAATTTCTCTATGATCATACCAGATAAATTTTGAAATTTCTCTATGAAATTAGAGAAATTTCTTTGTGAAAATTGAAATTTCTATATGTCAAGGAGAAATTTCTGTATATCGAATTTTTTATGTGAAAATGTTGAGGGACTACAATTGATATTAAGATTTTATAAGATAAAAGATATGCAATATTTTTATAGTAGTTGGAGTCTCTCAATATTTTCACAGAAAAAATTTGATATAGAGAAATTTCTTTCTAACATAGAGAAATTTCAATTTTCACAGAGAAATTTTAAAATTTATCTGGTATAATCACAGAGAAATTTCATCGAGGGACCTTAGCTAATAAAATAAAATAAAAACATATTGGACCTCTCCTACTATCCAAAGTTCGAGATGGATGTTTCACTAATTTTCTCTATAATTTACTTTACAATAATACTACAAATCAAAGTATTAATCTAGAAAAAAATACCCCTAATAATATTCACATTTACATTGTAAAAAATATTAATCAAAAAAATTATTTAAGATAAAGCCACCCTAAATTGTAGGTCATATTTTAGTCCTAATAAATTTAAATTATAAGGGCCCTTTTTCATAAATCCCTTTTCACCTACTTATATTTCATTTAGTCCACATTATTTTGTTATGTTTTCATAAGTCCTATGGGTGACATAGTTACCAAAATACCCCTAATAATATTCACATTTACATTGTAAATGTTCCGTGATGTGAATGTTCACATCGTCAATGTAAATGTTAACATGTCAATGTGGATATTCACATTGTAAAATACCTTTGATTGCTACATCTTTAAAGTCATGTGGTTGTTTCCCTTTAATTGCTTTAACCAATGCCTTCTTTAAAACAGGACCAGTGAGCCTTGTTTCCTTTGGGAATCTTCGCCTTAGGAATGGCGTCTTTGGCTTCTTTGAGTATCTTAATGACATGGCGCCTTGTCCACATTCCAAACCAAAAATCAAGGTCATGTCATTGTTTGTAAAGGTCAAGTTCTTCTTACTAATTGTGAATGCTTTTGTTTTTTCATTGTATCTTTGGATGATTGCAACTACATCATCATCTGATTTTCTACACTTCCTTGGATCCATCCTTCCCGTTGTTAGAGCTTGGATCAAATACCAGAATTGGGTCTTTTGAAGCTCTACAACTTGGTTTGAATTGAATATAAGTGTTTGAAAAAAGGAGACAACAAATGATAGGTTTGATCGGTATTGAATGATGTAATTAGCTCTCTTCCTTTGGAGTTTAATAGGTTTTTCCCCTTTGAGCTTGAGTCTTTTGAAGTTTGCGTATTCATCTTCATCCTTGTTGCTTCTTCAACTTGGACTTCTATTTTTTGGCAAGGAGTTTGTGATGTTTTGCTACCTTTTGATCTAAGATCATAACTGCCAGACTCAGAGAGTTTGTGTTTCTTCGTTGGTGTTTCTAGTGTTTTGTTGCTTTTGCATTTTTCCATTTCTAAACAATGAAAACATAAAGATGTCAACATTAAATCCCAGAGAAAACTAAACATGCCAGATAAAATTAAACATGTCAGAGAAAATTACTCATAAGGGAGAAAACTAAGGTGGCCAGAGAAAATTATAAATGTTAAAGGAAATTAAACACAGAAAATTAGACACGGAAAATTAGATGTCAAAGAAAATAAACAAAGCAACATAAATATGCTAGAGAAATTTTTAATAATTGCTAAAATTACATATAGAAGTAAAATATAAGCAGAGAGAATTCAAAAAAGATCATAACTGCCAGACTCGGAGAGTTTGTGTTTCTTCGTTGGTGTTTCTAGTGTTTTGTTGCTTTTGCGTTTTTCCATTTCTAAACAATGAAAACATAAAGATGTCAACATTAAATCCCAGAGAAAACTAAACATGCCAGATAAAATTAAACATGTCAGAGAAAATTACTCATAAGGGAGAAAACTAAGGTGGCCAGAGAAAATTATAAATGTTAAAGGAAATTAAACACAGAAAATTAGACACGGAAAATTAGATGTCAAATAAAATAAACAAAGCAACATAAATATGCTAGAGAAATTTTTAATAATTGCTAAAATTACATATAGAAGTAAAATATAAGCAGAGAAAATTCAAAAAAGAAACATAAATGTAGCAAGCCACAGAAAATTAAAATGCCAGAGAACATTACACATGCCAGAGAAAATTAAACATGGCAAGACAGAGAAAATTAAACATAGCAAGACAGAGAAAATTTTCATTCCACAATTAGCAAGAGAAAACAAACAAAGCAACATAAACATGCCACAAAAAATTACACAACAGAGAATTTTGGAGGAAACCAAGAATTGAACAAAATAAACATAACAGAGAAATTTTCAAAAAAGAAACATAAATCTAGCAAGCCACAGAATATTAAAATACCAGAGAAATTTACAGACAACCAAAGAAAATTAAACATGGCAGACACACAAAAGAGAGAAAAGTAATGTGGCTAGAAAAAATTATAAATGTCAGAGAAAATTAGACATAAACAAGAGAAAATTTCCATTCCTAGATAAATTCATCTCAGCAACATAAACATGACAACGAAATTTGGAAGAAAATAAGAATTGAACAAAATAAACATGACAGACAAATTTGCAAAAAAGAAACATAAATCTAGCAAGTCACAGAATATTAAAATGCCAGAGAAAATTATAGACAACCAAAGAAAATTAAACATGGCAGACACACAGAAGGGAGAAAAGTAATGTGGTCAGAGAAAATTAGACATAGATAAGTGAAAATTTCCATTTCTAGAGAAATTCACACAACCAAAGAAATTTGAATGAATTGAACTTGAAAATTACACAGAGAAATACAGAGAAATTAACAATGCCAGAGAAAATGGGAAAATAAACAAAAACAAAAGGTCGTTCAAAAAAAAAAAAACAAACAAATGGTGGAATAAACATGCCAGATAAAATTCAAAGAAGAAACTTAGATCAAGCAAATGCCAGAGAAATTTACAGATAAAATCACATTTTTCAAAATCACACAACAATCTTCAAGAATATGTTCAAAATGCAAAGAAATAACATTTTTAAAATTCATGTAGCTTTTATTAAGAAATTGAAACCCTAATTAATGGAAGGTTAATATAAAATGCAATTAATTGTGTTTCTAGAGAAAAACTCATTGGATTGTAGAAAAAACTTACCAGAGTAGGGATGAAACCCAAATTACGAACTGATATGCCTTGAGATGAAGATACACTATAATGAAGATGAACTGAGATGATGATTAACAGTAAAAACGGATTAGAGAAATTTGTGAGGAAAGAATGAAAAAGATTTTCACAAAAGATAATGAAACCGTAATGTCGATAGTGAAGATGATTGTGAAATCCTAATTCTGCTCTTCTTTTGCTCATGAAGATGGTTGGATATCAAGACTGGAACTAAGTCGTCGGAATGTAGTTCAGTTTCTCGGTTGATTGTGAAGGGTATGTTGGTCCAAGAAATAAATAAAAAGCGCGCGTCCTTAGTTGAGGGACCTACGGCATCATCCCCTTTTTTTTTGTATCCTTTATCATTGAAATTACTATTATTAGGGACCTTAAAAAAAATTCTTCATAGTAAATTATCAAAATTGTTAATTGAAATATATTTCTGACATCATTCAAAATTATTAAATAAAAAATTAATAATAAAATATTTATAATTTCTAAAACTATAATAGATAATTTATATTTTAAATAAACTTTAAAAGATGTGTTTATAATTTATTTTATTATTATAAAATTAAAATATTACTTAGGAAGTAAGCTTGCAGCTCTGCCCAGTTTGGTACTACTACGTGGTGCAAACTTTTTCATATGAATGGGTTTGCTTTTTAGTGGTGCCCCACTTCTACGTGGTGCAAACTTTTTTTTGTTTTATTCATGGGTTTGCTTTTTAGTTTGCATTTTTGCCACCCACTCGGCTAAAGGTTTTATGGCGCAATACTATATTATATATAGTTTTGGTAATAATTTTTTTTTAATTTAGTTTGATTTTTTTTTTTTTTGTTAAAAGGTAAAATTTTTATAAAATTTAAAAAAATATAAATTTAAACAAAATATCATATTAAATTTTATAATTATTTTATTTTTTCTCTTATAAATATCACATCTAATCACAAAAAAATTTAACTATCTTTCTAAACACTAAAATTTTTTTTGGTAATAATATTCTGAAACTAAAAAAAATATACGTAAAAACCCGCGGCTCAAACACCCACTATAAAAGCTTGGTTTCGGTGCGGAGACTACGCAGTAGACTTTGGCAATGAAGTGTTCTCCCAAATCGTGTGGAGAGGCTGCAGACAACATGGAAGAAGAGAAATCATGCCATCCTATCCCTCCTCTTCACAATGCTAACTCTGGTACCTCTCTCCTTCTCTCTCTCTCTCTCTCTCTCTCTCTCTCTCTCTCTCTCTACATATACATATATATATAGTGTTGTATCTGTGTCTGGACATTAAGTTCTATACGGATGATCCGTAAAAGCCATCTT